GAACGGCCGCCTCAGGCTGGGCGGAGCGGGGCTCGTACAGACAGGCCGCTTACAATGTATATTGTATACATGTATGTTGATTATACGAGTGTCCGGGCACAAGCTGTTGATTAGGCCACTTACGCGGTGCTTCCCGCCCGGCTTTGGCAAGGGAATACCATTTCCTGGGGAGGGAGGATTTTTAAGATGACATTATGCTTCCTTATGCCTTTTTTTTTTTTTTTCCCCTGCATACAAGGAAAAGCTTTCCCCGCTATGTATGGGGAGGGACAAGCAGCAGAGCTGGCTGTCCAGAGAGGCCGGGCAGAGTCCATCGCTGGAGGTTTTGGAGACCCAGCTGCTGAGCAGCCTGCTCTGCGCTCAGGCCTGGCCTTGCCTTGAGCTCTTGAGGTTCTTCCCGGCCTGAATTATCCTTTGTATTACGTCTTTATCGTGAAGATAGCCTTATGTTCTAGTATATTTTACTTCACCTCCTGTGCAGATGGAAAAGCAGGGGTTCATGTTTTCTATAAATGCCAAAGGGTGGATGATTACTCTTACTATGCATGTTGACAGACACCATATATTACTGCTCCATATTTCTCCACAGACTGTTTAAATCCTATCCCTGCTGCTCCTTTCTAGGTAAACTTCCCAGTTGATTGAAAAATTAGCCTCGGTCCTTAGCAGTTTCATATCCTACTGTACAAAACTAGGCCTGGGTATAGTCTGCTGTAATAAAAAATGGTAGTGACCAGCAGGCAGTAGTAGTCATACTGTTGCTGTCCTCAGTGAAACATTTCCTGAACAGCAGAGCATGGATAAGAGGTTCTTTTTGTTTTCAGAGCAAGATTTCAGTCTCAAAATACACCTACATTTTTTCTTCAGTGATGAATCAGCCAGATGCTGCCAGAATCCACTTCCTATAGAGGACATAGATAGGAGACCCATTAAAAAATAAAAATTATCACTGTACTCCAGAGATAGGTCACTGCAAACATGCTAACAAGCAGGATCTCAGATGAGGTAGATCTCTCTTCCTCACTGCTGTGGTGACGCCCAGCAATAACAGGGTGCTACAGGTGGTGAGCACAATCTTCCTGCCTGGGCAGGCGATTTTTTAATCTCTCAGTTGACTTGCAATAAAAAGCTGCAATGGGTTCTATGAGCTTTAAGAGAACTCTGAACTCTTTGGACAGATTGTGCCATAATGTTATTTTAGGATCAGGGTATTTCAAAGAAAGCTGGATTTGTGACATTGCTATTTACAGATTCTGAAATGGATTTTATTATGCATTTCACCAAATCATCGTTCTAAAGCGCTTTTCAGGACATCAGGATACATTTATTTTTCTTTAGTATTTCATAATTAGCATATTAGGAGGACTCCCAGGCTCCCTAGTCAGATGTAGTTTAGGAAATTCAGCTTTCTTTGTAAAGTATTTTTTGTTTCTGTATGGATTATCCTCACTAACAGTAGGAAGAAATGACTATGTTATCAAACATTTTCAGACAACTTATTTAAAACTTTTAAGGGAGCTTAGTATAATTTTCATGTCAGATCTTGGAAAAGCACAGTTTACTATATCAGAATTCAGCCACAGTTATTTTAAAAGCATTATACCTAATAGGGAGAAATGACTCTATATTTTATGTGACTCCATTGCTCCCAGGTAATTTTGTTTAATAGCATGCCCACACATTGAAGTGAGAGTCATGGTTAGTTATTTTTCCAGTTCGTACTTCTTTGTAACTGTCACCTGAACATCCCAGTGGTAGCAAAATGTCATTTTTCACAGCAATTTCTAGCAGAAGCATTAATGAACAAGGCCCTGGCTCTTCAGAGATTTGCCTCTGCAAACTGAACCTATTGCATTCAAGTTACAGATTGTATAGCTCAGAGAAGGTCAATGACTTACCTGTGCCCTGGAGTGCTTTCATAGACATTAAAAATAAAATGCTTGCTCTGTGCTTTAGCCTGCCGGGCAGCACTTGGGACTTAAGTTCATGGAGATAAAATCACTAGCCCTAGGGTTATGACACAAGCAGATTCATTAGGCAATCGGATTTTGCTACAGATACTTGAAATAATTACTAGAAGACAACCGAGTTAACAAACAGTTATCTGTGAATAACATAAGCGTGCATACTGTAAATTATTCTTCTGTCTTAATCTATTACTTTATGCTGCAGTAGAATGAGAAGAATCCAGCTTTTAGAAGCTGAAAAATGTGAGCTTAAAAGCAAAGGTGCACTTTCTTAAGCTGCTCTTAAGAGTATTCTGCTCTTAGAAAGTATTTAACCCTGCCTGGGACTGGGTGCAGTCTCCATCGCGTTAGTTCTCTAAACAGGCTGTGTCTTTTCTAGAAAGATGTGATATCATTTGAAGAAAGTTGGAAGGTTTCATACAGCTGTTCCTGCAGTCACCTTCTAGGTTTGTGCTGTACAAGAGCCTAGATGGTCATAACAGTCTTTACTTAAAAGCAAGCAAGCAAACAAGAGAGTCTTTATGTTCACGAGGGTATTTTTTGAAGCACAATATACTTTGGGAAAAAAATGAAAGAAATTGTAAATACAATTGTGAAATAAAGACATTTTGGGGATTTTTTTCCTCACTTTCATCTAGAGCAGTTTTAAGTATGATCCTACCAGCCGCAATTAGCACAAGCATTTCGGAGATCAGCGATGCCATTTCATAATGCTTGCTTCCCAAAGTTTTATTACCAGAGTATCATCAGGAAGACAAAGAGACCCTTTCTGCTACCTGTCTGCATTCGATCACTGCCCAGGCATGTGACCTAAGCACAGAAATATGGCACCTTTGCAAGGGGCAGCTCAAGGGAAGTAGATGCTGGGAGAGACAAGCGACAGCCCGAGGTAAAAGGCATTACAGAGTGCTTGTTTTCTCCCTGAAAATGCCCATCTGCTCACTGAACCCCAGCGAACCAACTGTGCTCGTGAAAAACATGTACACAGATAAGTGGCTTGGATGATTTATTCCCTCCTTCAATTATAAGGAGAACAATTTCAAAATGTCATTAAGCTGTAACCCGCTACGGAAGGAGCAAGTAGCTCCAAGCAGCAGGGCCTGGGACATACAAAGAAACAAGCCACACTCCAAACAATGCTTGAGAAATTAAGCAAATACATTCAGAAGAATCAAGAAAGATGTGTAAGCTTGCTTCTTTTTTCTGTTTTCTCTTTTTTTGATGAATTCAGTAGAATTAATGTCAAACCAAATTGCACGATTTTCGTTCCAATATTAGCAAGCTGTAAGGTACTAGCAGCCTCGGTGTGCGGAAAAGGACCAGCTGATTCTTGCATGATTTTATATGGGCACTTATATAGGCAGAGCACTGCCCCTTCCATATGTGCTTCATCCCGGTGTTCTTGGCCCAGGGAGGCTTCAGCCAGAACATGGACCTTTCAAAAGGCCTTTCTTCTCCCTTCACCTTTAGCTTGAAAGATGGATTTTGTGCTAATAACCAAAACCGTGGCTGGGAGCATTTTTCTTTGTCAGCTCAGATGTAAGTACAGTGCCTCTGAGGATATTAAGAGGTGCAATTTGTGCCTTATGTAACGTGTTTTCTTACAGTTGTTTTTCTCTGTGTGCAGTGCTGCACTCCACGATGCTGCGGGGAGTCAGTCAGCGTGCAAAGGGCGCCTTCACCCTGCGGCTGGTGAGAGCTCAGCGCGGTAACCCAGGACTGAATCCTTCATCCCCACGACGGGAATTAGCAAACAGAAGCCTTCTACCTCACTCCCACTATACAACTGATACAACATCAAGAGAGGAAAATAAAAAAATTATTGAGAGTCTCTACGGATTGTCAGTTGATATTAAGAAAATACGCAGACTAAAAGAATGGGTCCTTTTCCAGGATGTGGCTTATGTTAAAGAAACTGCTACTATTCTACAAGAGATGGGAGCCAACGAGGCTACCATAGCCAGTATTTTGGAGCGCTGGCCAGAGGCAATTCTCCGTAGCCCTGCGGAGATAAACTCTCAGAGAGCGCTGTGGCAATTAGTGTGCCAGAATGAAAAACAACTCATTAAATTAATAGAGCAATTTCCAGAGTCTTTTTTTACTACCGAGTTTCATGAGAATCAGAGGGCAAATATTCTGTTTTTTCAAGAGTTGGGACTGAGGAATAATATAATCACTAGGTTCTTGACAAGTGCACCCAGTATTTTTTACAATCCTGTTGAGAAAAACAAACATACAATAAAGACTTTACAGAGAAGTTACTTGAGTTTAGGAGGTTCCAATGCAAATATGAAGATTTGGATACTGAAGCTATTGAGCCAAAATCCATTTATTTTATTAAATACTTCCACCGTAGTCCAGGAGAACTTGGAATTTCTTCAGAAGAATGATTTCACTAACCATGAAGTTCTACAACTGCTGTCCAAACTTAAAGGCTTTATTTTTCAGCTTACTCCTACCAGCATGCAAAAGAGTATGGTTTTCTCCAAAAATGTCTTTAAGTGCAGTGATCAAGAATTAAAGCAGCTAGTGCTCAAATGCCCAGCCCTTCTCTACTATTCCGTTCCAATTCTGGAAGAAAGACTCGAGGGATTTTTGAAAGAAGGAATTTCAATAGAGCAGATCAGAGAGACACCAATGGTGCTTGAGCTGACAACACAAATCGTTCAGTACAGAATTAAAAAACTCTCCGCTTCAGGCTATAATGTAAGGAGTGGAAGCCTAGAGACTTTGAATGGTACTAAGAAAGATTTCGAAGTCACTTGTGGTAAGATACAATCAAAGAAGGAGAGACCAATGTTCAATCCTGTTGCTCCTATAAACACTGAAGATTAATTTGAATGCTGTACTTTACAAAATGATCAAAGAGAAAACAGATCTCAATTCTTTGGCAAGATCTGAATCAATACCTTAAGCAGATTGTATTCTTACACCAGGCTTGGTTTGAAAAGGAGTTTTATGCATAACGCGGTTATAAAAGTATAGCTAAAAGTACAGCTTCCCGGCACTTCGAAATACTGTCTTAGACTCTGACCATGTTAAAAATGACCTGCTGTTGGTTACATAAAGACTTAATCCCTTCCCCTCCCTCCCCCTGGGACCACCTCACATGTGGGTTTTTGATTCTTCTGCATGTTGTTGTTTACCTGGCTACTAGTTTTTCTGGATTTTCAGCTCTCTAATTGCGCAGTGCAGTGTGTGGCATTGCTTAGAATAATCTCCGTGGAAAAGGAGGATTATTTATCCAGTACTGCTCCTCCATCCACCGGTATACTCAGCTTTAAGGTCTCCCTTAGGGATGTCTTTCTAAATCCAGCTCCTGAACTGAAGCTGACTTAATTTCCTGGATGGGAGGCCCACCCAGAGCAGAGTTTGAGAACAGGGGCAGGACACTATTTTTAAGTAGTGATCCCTAGAGTGAGGCCCCATTCTTTTTAACCTACAAACTGTAATGCTAAAAAAATTTAAAGGAGAATGTCTTTGTAGTTTAAGACTTGAAAACTAATTTTGTAAAAAGTTTGAGGGAGGAGGAAATACATTTATTGCACATGTCTAGTCCTCAATTTCTTCTTTTCTGGACTGGCAAAAATAATCATGCTTTTATAATAGGCATAACAAAACTCTAGTCTGTGAGCCATGGGCGATTAAAAACGACGACCAGATTTGCAAACAGCTGCCGCAGTTTCTAAATATATTGGTAAGGCAGCTTCTCAGATATCACTGCTGACAAGTACATGCTGGCTTTTTAAATAGTAACTATTCCACAATGTTTAAGTTCCAGATTTTTGGCTTTGTTTTAATGGGCTGTGAAAAAATGATATGAAATAGTAGCACCACTTCAGATTATCTCAATAGCAGCAGGGTCACCAGTGATTTTATTCCTCCAAAGGACAATTTACCCAAGGAGGCTGGCTAGAGACATTCCCTGCTGACAGCGGGAGACGCTCCAGCTACCCGCACCCATGTCCTCTGCGCCCTTCCTCAAGGTCACTTTTATAACAGACGTTTTAGCAGCAGGTCCAGGACTGCTTTTCTTGAAGGGAAGTTTTAAATTGCTGAGTAAAGTCACTATTGGATTACTCACTTAGGGGGCAGCCTGCAAGATGATGATTTTAGACTGCCTGCAAATTATCTGCCCTGAGCTGGGCAGAGACTGGAAACATCAACTTGTAGCTGTGCAAGAAGCTCAGCAGCTGAAGGTCTTAAATCCACCCTTGTGGCGGCAGCTTGTGCCGGCGAGGAGGGAAAGCTGCCCCTGGAGCACGTGCCACAGGGGTGAGAATTCCACACAGGACATGGATCGCCAGCACTTCAAAAAATTAGGCTGTCCACTTCAATGTTTTCCTTGAAAATTTAATTTCAGCATTTCTAGAGGTGTCTGTTTTTAAAATTTCTTTCTGATGCAACTCATTCCCATCATTTCTTGCTGTACTTCCAGTGGCAAATTAAAAAAAAAAAAAAGGAACAAGAACATATTTCCTTAACTGAGTCACAGTCTGAGTCATCTCAAGCACCTTTTCCTCTTCCCAACATTACAGTTTCCCCTTCCCCCCTTCCAAAACAAAAACATAAAAGGAGACTCCTTTTATATACCAGCAGGTCAAAATTCATGCAGTATCTCCATCTCTGGGACCCATGTCTTTGTTCTTCCCAGGATTCATTTATGGAGCAACCTTGGACAAACTGATTTTGCATCCCATTGCCGAAATCCTCATCACCATCTCTTGCTGTTACACTGAATACAAACAAGTTTATACAGTTTGTCACATAAAAATCCATAGACCAGCGTTTCTCTCTCAGAAGGCAGACCTGGGTACCCAAGTGGTATTTAGGTATATGGCCCCTTTTGAAGTGGCTGTTGTGAAATCTCCAGATTATAACCCACACTCAGAAGTTTCTCAGACTCCAGCCTGAAATTGAGTTCTTGATTACAAGTTTTGCTGGGGACAAAGCAAATTAGTCCTGATTTTAAGGCTGCAATCCTTGAAGAGCAAAACAAAACAAAATACCATCCTAACCTTCCTGAAAGCTTAAAAGTGGATTTCCTCAAACCTCAGTTCCCAGGAAAAAATCAGTAAGGGACTGTGTAGTATCTATGCACAGCCTGCAACACAGGCTGCAGTTTCAAGAGGTCGTTGATATACTTACATGCACAAATAAGGCACTTCAGGGCATGAAATATGAAGATTTCCCCCCTCACGTATTCACCGATCTGCCCATCTCTATGAATTAACACAGACGCTTTCAGAAGTCCAAAACAGCAACAATTTAATGTTTCACAAGTGTCAGGACAGAGTCAGAACACATCTTAGAAAAGGAGTGAGTTTCATATGTGAATGGAAAATACACAGAATATAGGACAAAGCTCTAAAACTAAAACCATACGCCACATTAAAGCACTTCAGTTAGGAGACTCAGAGGTAATTACTACAGGATATGTCAAGAACAAAACATAATGAAGCGTTGTTGGTTTTTACAGTTCTAACTTTATGCATCTCAGACCACACTTGTTTTGCTGCAAACTTCATAGTATAAAAATTACAGAATGTCGTAAAAAAGAGGTATGATCTGTTCAATGTGGAAGTTTTTGGAAAATGATTAGGAAAGGTTTGGTCGAGGGTCTCGGATGTCACTATGCTCTGAAATGGCCGGCCCTGTGGTGCAGCAGCAGCGCTCTGGATACATCTACGCTGAGAACTGCAGGGGAGCAGAGCACACTAGGTCATTTGCTGCAACTAAACCGTTCCTCGTGTCAAAGCTAGTTCATTTCTACAGCTCACTGATAGCTCTAAGCTACACTGTATTCTATATTATTAGCCTTTAACAATAATAATAATAAAACAGTCTGCACGTTTTGCATAGACTTCTTTTACCCCATTCCACAGTTGCAGCAGAACAGAGCTAAGCATCTGGTGCCGCCAGCACAGGAACAGATCGTTCCATATGTTGGGCTTTTTGGTCTTTTCTCCCTGCCACCAACTCACCACTCTCACTGTGTTAAGCACAAACAGTTATTCATATCAAATAAAATAAAAAAGTTGCTCCAGACTGCAGTTAAAGTACTAATGGCTCAGAAAGACTACGTGGCTACTGCACCATAACTCACACGCGGTTTGCTTTCAACGTCCGTGAACGGGAGGAAGCTTTAGACGAGTAATACACTTTGATTTAATTTCTTAAAAAAAAAAAAAAAAATCCCTATGTATATATCCTTCTTGTACAACTGTAGCCACTGAAAAAGTAAGCTTACATGCTTAAACATTTTCTGTAAGAAAACAAGTTTATAGAAAATACTGCATAGAGAGTGTTCACATAAGCCCTCAGTCATCTGTTACGGTCCTCCAAAGAAGTCACTTACTTGCAAAGTCAGCACAGAGATCACAGCCAGCTTCTATTTTAGGACAGCTTCGAGCTGGCTCTTGCAAGTGGGTTTGCTCCACTCTGCTGAGGACCTGCAAATGCTCCCAGGCGAGCGAGGTATATCAAGGTTTGGAATCTAACAGCATTACTTTGATAATGTTTTTCATTTTATTTTCCTTTAAGGGCTCATTTGCTTTTTTTTTTTTTTTAAATACAAGTACTAATATGCTTGAAATCAAAATGTAAAGTATGAGAAAGAGATGTAGTGAAAAGTTTGCTGTGTTTGTTTAAATGAGAAGCTAGAAACAAGAACCTGACACATCATGAACTTATATGACAACTTTGCTAGTTCTTCTTCAGTGGTTCCCAAATGCAGGAAGGATTTTCTCTCAGGTTACACAGTTGTCAGAATATAGTGCTAAGTGACCACAAACCTCGGTCCAGTTTCATATAAGCCATCATTTTTTCCCCTAGTGTCTGTAGGAAGTTTATTAGAAGCAGCAAGTTTTTCACTTGCAGGAGAAAGATGTGTATCATTAAATACACCTGAGATTTAACAATCTTGTTTGCAGTAAAAGCTGACTAAGTTTCTGGTATGAGGAGTCATAAAGAGAGTCCAAAGCTTGGTCTGTGAACTGCACTGAAATGGCAGGACAGTTCTTTACACAGCTTCACTTAGAAAAATCTCAGTAAGGCATTAGCAGTTACATTACTCTTTATGATCCCTTCTACCACCCTTTCTCACCTCTTATCTGCCATGCCCCATTCCTGCACCCCTCCAGTTGTGTTTGCTCCCACGCCAGCAGAGTGCCCCATGCCGAGCTTTGCTTCCTCGTGGAGCTACTCGGACACGTCCACGAGGCCCTTACACATTTCAAGCACTCTTAGCAGGAAGATGTGGAAACCACTGAGAACAGCGATCAGCCTCTTGCGGTGCTGCAGAGACAACCAACCGAGACTTCTGTGTTCACATTTTAGTCCAAAACTGCACGAGTGAGGGAATATTCAAACAGGTATCATCCCTTCGGATACACATACTCACTCCCATAGTTATCGGGTGTAACATTTCACCAGCTGCGAAGCCTGGATCTAGCTCCTAATAAATCTTCATGCACGGTGCTCGCCAAGCTTCGCCTGTCCTTTTCAGATGAAATCAAGTTACCTGCACAGCTCCGTAGAAGAGAGATGTCAAAGACACATGGCTTCTCGTGGTCCCAATCTTAGCAGATTTTAATGCCACCGACGTAATATTCCAAAGAATCAAGTGCGTCTCAGTTTCGTTTGTTTTAGTCAGACTTATCCTTTTTCTTCCCCGTTAAAGGCACTTTACTCGCAACAGCAGATCCTACAGCGGTGACGCCTCCAGCCACGGCCGAAACACCTCCCTTGACCAGCCCCACTCCCACGGCAGGCACCGACGTGACGGCCGTCTTGGTGATCTCCAGGCTCTTCCCTCCGATCCAAGCTACGCCGCCGATGGTGGCGCCGACGGCTCCCCTCGTGACGCTGAAGAGGCCGCCGGTGACGCGGGACAGCACGCCGGGCTGCTGCTGCGGGTGGTCCTTCAGCGAGCCTGCGGGGAGAGCGGCGCCGTCAGCCAGCGCCGCCGCCACGCGGCTGCGCTTACCCCGCGCGTCGCTTCTCGGGGATGCTCGAGCAACACCCTCGCTCCAAATAAGACAGTCACTTTGCTGTAGGCAAGACAGCTCAATAAATCAAGAATTAATATCTCAAGATCTCACAACCCTTTTCCAAAAAAAACCTGATCAATACTGAACCTACAGCTCGCAGGAATAGAGCTCCCCAAAGTCTTTTAAACACTGCACAGGGACAGGAATTTAACACCACCTTCCGAGACTCTGGAAAGCCTCACATCCAAATTAGCTTTTTCCAGACTTTAGTAACAAGGGAACTCTCACTGCTCTCTCCACTCCCATATTCAGAATTAACCCATGGAGGAAGAACAACCAGCAGCACAATTCCCTAAGGGAAGGCTGGAAAAGGTTTCCTGGAGAAGTAGAGGTTTGAAGCACATGTTCATTAAAAATGAGATACTCTTTGGAAAGAACTCACCTTGAGACAAAGCATTTCCTCTCCTTAATAACTATTGCTTTGAAGATGTATTTACAGGGTGTAAATGCCAAGGTCAGAAAAGAGGAAAAAGGTAAGAATAGGAGAGGTACCAGAGGGTTTCAAAAGAAGAGAGGAGAATGGAGGAAGAATAATAAATAAATCATAAGGCCAGCACTTCTCTGTATCCCTTCCTGCCTCCTTCCTACACACAAATCTGATTTTCTGATCTTCAGATGGGGAAGTAGAAAGAATAAGCCAGCAGCTTAGTAAGTAAAAGAAGGAGTCCCCCAAAGCATCAAAGTCAAGCAGTCAAACTCCCAAAAGGAGGTGCCAACAGGAGCCCAGGAAGAGCTCTAACCAGGGGGTTTCCACATGTTGTGGACAGTGCCAATCTCCTTGTTCTTTCTTCTTAGCGTTGCCTAAACTGCATTTGCAGTTTGTTACTACATGCAGTGGAAGTCAATTTGTGCTGTGTATTGTATATATTGGCTACCTGTATCGTGTATTTATTGTATGATTACATAGCCTCAAAATAACAGGCAGTACATGTGGAGGTGGGGTTAGTTTAGTATCCTGCCTCGCTAATTCCTCACCAACTCCAAATGCCTCCTTCCCTCCTTCTCAATAAAAAGTTTCAAAGAAAAATGTGACAATGAACAGCCAATCAACAAGAACGTAGGATGAGATTTCCACTTCTTTCCACTTTCTTTTTAATTTATAATCATCTGTACGCAGCACATTGGATTTAATGACTATGTTTCCCTCACTTGGAAAAAAAAAATGAGAAAAGAGCAAGTGAGCCATGGCAGGCATGGAAGAGAGGTTGGAAGAGTCAGCTCCCATGCGGACACTCATCTGCTACAGATGAAACTCAAACCAATGACTTCTCATGCGCATCCACTGAGTCTGCAATAATGCCAGAGCTGACCTGGGACTAGGTAAGTATTCATTTGAAAAAAGAAATCTCAAAGAACGAATTCTTTATAGGGTTGGTGGGAAAAAATAGGCCATAAATAAATAAAAGAACAGTGCAGGTCAAGGAAGCAGAAAATACTAAAAATACTTGCAGCTTACGGCACCCTTGGCATCCTTACTTAAGATTAAAAAATTAATTTCTGGAAGGAATGCTTGTGGAAACTAGGAGGATAAGTCACAGCCTTTCACCTAAAGTCAACATGAATGAACAGAGATATTATTTAAGTCAGTAGTCTTCAATCTTAAGAACTCCAGCAAAGAGGAACATAGAGATCATAATTTCTATTTACATACAAAAAGCCTTTAAGGAGTTGCACTCTGAAAGAAGTGTTTATAGAGCCTGGTGTAAATTCTATGGCCTAGAAAGTATTCTTATGAGTAGAACTGTACACCTCATTAAAAAAAAAATCACTGAGATAACACTTCACTTCTACCTGCTTCGTTCCCATCCCCACCCATCTGATGAGGTTAAATGGGAAGCAAAGTGCCACTCTGCCAGCACAGCAGAGCGTGGCTGAAAGGAGGCTGCAAACGCAGGCGCTGCGCACGGAGCACAGGCCAAACATGCAGAGCACCGCGTGCTCCCAGCCAGCACATGGAAGAACCTGGAAACCTCTTCCTATATATAAACCTTTAAAGCCTGTGGGCACCTAACTTGTCAAGTGGCATTTGGACAACTTGCAACTATTTATATCTTTAAAAAAGACAGCGAGTTGGTTTTGAAATCAAGACTTCCCTGTAAGGAATTTTGTTGGCAGCCGGTTCAGAAAGCCACCCGTCTTGCCAAGGCCAAACTGGTAAAGGCTCCCTCCTCACTTGGCCTTCATTTCACCATGGTGAAAGGGTATAACATACAAAGGCCTCATGTGACGTTTCAAACAGGCACGTTCCTCATGAGCGCTCCAACATTCAAACTAAACATATTTAAAGTGTATGTGAAACAGAAAGGGGGTCTTTCCTTTAGGCTGAGTTCCGTCCCATCAACTCCCTCCAGCTACTCAGACTACGCTCTCAGATTGATCCCTATCCTATTTGCAGACAATGCTGCGCAGAAGAAACAGAAGTCTCAGTAACTCACGAATTTTAAATGAAACTCTGCAATAGCTATAGACAACCATCTTCTGCTGTTAAGATCTGGATTACTCATTCAGTTAAAAAGAAGTTAAAAACAGGCCCTTGAAGGAGACAAGCAGACAACTGGGCCAATGTAATTCACCAGTCAGAGCACACTTCAGGCTCTAGATACTGTGTTGAACACATTTAAACTCTACTCAAATTTAATGGAAAAAAAATCTCAAAAACTAGACTTAGGAATAGCGCATATGGGCATGTTTTCTAACCTGGCCTTTGTTTTTAGAAACTTCTGATGTTTCTTTACATCCAGAAATCCTGACAACTCCAAAGGTTCTTAAAAACACAACGCCATTGTATGCTGCTTGAAAACCACTGTGCAAAAAAAAAAAAAAAAAGTCTATTCTTCCCTTTTCCCCTCATCTTCCTGCACAATTCCTGTCTTACGATTGATTGCTAGGACTAGAATAAGTTATTCCACCTGAACTCCTTCCACTATCATTAATGGACACTATCATTTAAGTAAATTATTTTGCTTAGTTATACAAGCTATAAAAGCCAAACAAAAAACAAAAACAAAAACAAAACTAAAACACACCCTGCTCATAAGCAGGGTTTTAAAGGATCATTATAATTGGAAGAGTAATTAAGTGAGAGGAATCAGAATAATATTAAAAGGAAAAAGAATCCCGGCTCACCCCATTCCATTCCAGGGCCAGTTTCTTTACTGTTACTTAAACAAAAGCCAGGAGTGTTTTAGCCTGCAGATCCATTTTGGAGAGTTAATTGAGCTGCTGATGGATTTCTGTAAACTTACTTGATATTATGGGAACTAATACCTACCTTCTGGCAGTTCATCGCGGAGGTACGATGGGACATCCTGTTGATTTTTGTCTGTTTGATTCATTATTGCCTAAAAGAGAAAATCACATATGCTGCAGTTCTTTTCTGGCAAAGTATAAATGTAACATTTAAATCTAAAATTCAACGTTTAGCATTCCATAAGGAAGAAACTTGTTTTTCATTACTAGGTAAGGCAGAAGCTACTAACCAGCTAGTGCTCTTTCCATTACCAGAATGGGCTTTTACATTGTTCAAACTGATTCAGTGCTTGAAAAAGAAACTTCAAGAGGTCAGCAGGTTGGGTGCTAACCACCCCTCCTTCACTAAGGACCTCTCAAACGAGGTGATCAAGAAGAAAAATGGTATGAAAGCAAAACAACCACTGCCAGATAACAGCTTATGTTTACATATAAAAGAAAAGATTAGCAGCTGTAAAGCGGGTAGATGCTAGAGAAACAACAGCCACCTATCCCTAAGACTTGATGTGACCTAGAAAGCAGCACCTTGAGAAAGGAGAAAAAAAAAAAAAACAACCAACCAACGAACCAAACAAAAAAACCCCCAAACAAGACACAATCTCCCTTGTGGTAGAATTTGAGTAAGTGTCATGAAAACAAGATTGAACAAGTGCAATAAAAGCACTCGAGCTATCCTGTAACAGTGCTGCATGCACAAGCTGGTAACAACAGGAAAAGCTGACTTTAACTACATGCAGGCTTTCAGGGCAGCGAGCACTTCCTTACGCCAGGAAAAGCTCTTTTCTGGAGCAGTTCTGGAGCAGCAGCCCCGAGCAGAGGGGCAGAGCTCGGGAGGAAGCTCAGGTCAGCTCTGCCCCCTGCACGTTCCCTTCTGCAGAGGAGAGAGGAAGGACTAACCTGAGTTTCACAGCACCACACAAGGGCTGAGGTTGGAAGGGGCCTCTGGAGATCGTCTAGTCCAGCCCCCCTAGAGCACGTGGCACAGGGTCGTGTCCAGGAGGGATCTGAATATCTCCGGAGAAGGAGACTCTGCAGCCTCTCTGGGCCGCCTGTTCCAGGGCTCGGTCAGCCTCACGGTCAGGCAGTTCCCCCTCAAATTCAGGTGTATGAGGCTCTGCTTCCCGCTTGGCACCATCAGCAAACTCGCTGAGGGCGGCTCTGCCCCTCTACCCCGCTCACTGATGAATAAGCCAACAAGACAGGCCCGAGCGCTGACCCCCTGGGGGCACCACCAGCCACAAGCCTCCAACCAGACTCCACTACTGGTCACAACCTCCAAGCTCGGCCACCCAGCCAGGCCTCAGTCCGCCTCCCTGTCCACCCACCCAGCCCGCACTTCCCGAGCTTCCCTATGAGGATGAGGGAGACGGTGTCTAAAGCCCTGCTTTCCCTCCAGCTTTCCCTGCCCACCAAGATGTGCTTCAGGCCCAGGCCTCGCCTCTCCCGCAGCCCCCGCTAATCCCACTCTCTCCCTCAGCACAAGGCGAGGGCGGCCGGCCAGGAGGAGGAGCGGAGCTGCAGCCCGCACCGCCCGCATCCCGCTGCCGCCCTTCCCAGCGCTCGTCCCCTCCTCCCTGCCATACACCCCAGCCCTCACGATCACCACACTTCCTCCAGGCGACGGTCACAAATGAACAACTCCAGTCTCTTTTGCCTATTTTCAAACCTCTCCAAACCCACTTGCTATTTGGGCGAGAAAGCGGGGGCTGGAATCTGAAGGAGGGGTGAGCAGGCAGTAGAAGCAGAACTTCAGGGTGGGAAGATTCACCTAGAAAGCAATAGCTAAAACCCTCATAGTACCATAACAATGACAAATATCACAGTAAGAACTGGTGCCCACATCCTGAATGACACATCTCTGTACCAGAGCACAGCCTGAACTGAATATTAAGGAGCCTCACAGAGAGCACTGAGGGTATCCGTCCATGACTCAGAACACATACGTACCTTTAAAAGACAGCTGAGCAGGAAGGCAAGCAAAAACTACCCACCAGCAGTGGGGCTGGTTTGTTGGGAACGCCAAATGAGCTTCCTTCTGAAGGCAGAAATCGAAACCTGCAGGCCAAGAAACAGGAGACTGAATTACAGCACATTAACAGGGAAGACCAAACACATGAAGGCTAAGGGGCAAGCAGGGTGAGGGAGAAGAGGGAATTAAATAATTCCTTTTTTTCTTTTATTTAATCATAAATCAGTATTTTTTTTAAAGAAAAAGAAAAAAAGCACTTGACATATCATAGAGCAGAACATAGAAGGGGACAAAGATACTGAGAAAGGACTGAATTCAGGTGCAAAGTGATTTCTTTGTACCCTTCTTCATTATTAATTATGTGAATTGGGAGAAATAAGCAGATTTCATCTTCACCGTGAAAAGCTACATCAAGGCTGTTTTTTTTTCCTTAAAACCAAAAACAACAACAACCACACACACAAAAATATCACCAAAAGAAATGAACAAAACTAAACCCAACAATCAAACACACATCAAGAAGTGTTACCAGAATCAGGAGTCTCACTCTAAGGCAGATGCTGAAACCAACTGACAAAGACAGGACGTTAACCAAAACATCTGCATGAACTAAAATAACTGCTGCTAGTTAATACTAGCCCACACTGCTAGTTAAGACAATTACTGTATTAGGAACTGGAAGGAGATCACAGCCTACCAGAAAAACAACTAAAATAATTCTAAAAAGCAGACTTAAAGGAGATCCAAATAAGCTGAGACAGTTCCAGTGTTCATTTTTCCAGGGACACTCTCTGGTAAGGTACAAAGCCAAGATTTACCCCAACAAAAGGCTTACGCAGCCAATTTTAAGACACCTGGGTTAAACCCTAGGCCACGTGACCTCATACCCAACCCAACATGTCAGGAGACTTAAGGGCCTCCGAAAGGAGACCCAAAACCCTGTGTGCTGCACACTGCGCAATGCAACCGGTGAAACATTAAATGCAGGAGAAGGCCTTAAGCCTGACTCCCCTCCAGAGATTTAAGGTGGGTATTTCTATTGACTGGAGGTCAAAAGACTAGAATAACTTCCTGGTCACTGATGACTTCACCCAATCACCCCAGGACTATTATTTTTCTTTAAACACAAGAGTTTACTAAGCAGGACCCCTCGCTATGCCCTGTGTGAGGCCACGGCAGCACCCAGACCGCTCAGCACCTCGCGGGTGCTGCTGTGGCCCACCTTGAAAGAGGAGCTCCAGGGCCCCAGGCTGCAGCCTACGGCGAGGGAAACTGCTCTGCGCCCTCCCTGCCAGAGACGTATCCCAAGAAATAAAAAAATGCAGAACTCGCAAGACCCAAGAGAGGGCACGACTCTGTTAACACCCAGGGCATCAACCTGGCAGAGCAAGGACAGACCTTCTGGGGAGAACTAAGCCGCTCAGATGTGGTACTGATTAAAGCTCCTTGGAAACTTAATTGGGAACTGCAGATTTGAAGAGCAAATCTCCCATGAAAGCACAGCGTACTGACAGAACGGCAACTGAAACCCAGCCAATTCGGTGAGTTTCTGTCTGCTGTTCCTCTCGCCTCCTTGGAAGTCCTTAGTGCAGGAGATCCAGGAGTCCCAGCTTCTAGACTCGGTCTCCGCTGTAGGCTGAGGTGCTAGAGTCAACCTGAACTATTCCAGCAGCTTTGGAAAACAGTTTTGAATAGGTTGAGAGACCCAATTCAATTTTTCGCTCCATCATGAAGAGTGACTTAAAATTTCATAATTTCTTTCAGAAGGAGAGCACTGATTTCAAGACTTAAACTGCAAAGCTAGGAACTGCTTCATGCCACACTGCAACTCATAAGAACATCCATCAGGATGTATTATGCAACTTCACTTGCATACAGAATTAGGGTTTGGTTTACAATTCAGGATTGTGGTAGAAGATGAAGAACTAGCATTTTTTAGTTTTACAGGGAGAGGGCTCAGGGAAAAAAAGGGGGAAGGTAGAGGGAGAAAGTGGGGGTGGAAAGTTAATTCATAAAGTTTGAAGACCTTGTTCAGAAGTTTCAAGCTACCGGTTACTGTAAGAGATACCAGTACACTTTGCAAGGGAATTATGCAAACAAATACTTGAAGCACACGAGAAAAGCCAAACCATTCAGGAACAACTTTTCATTTTTCCAAGAAGAAAAAAAAAAAAAAAAAAAAAAAAAAACCACAACACAACACACACAAACACACCACAGAGGAGTTTGGTGTTAAGAGACTTCTAATATCCTAAAATCTTGCAAATGAAATTAAACAGTCCTCAGCTGAGGTGGGAAAGATCTCATTTCAAAAGTGTCTCTTGGTGGGTCTCACTGGAGTAATACGACATCCAGACAAAACTGTGGAAGGATTTGGGTAGGATGAATGCAGCCCACACTTCTTGTCCCACAGACTGCTTGGTATTGCTGCTGCTTTTTCTGAAGCAACTACCTAAACTAAAAGGATCTAAAATGCTGTAATTTGGGATTATATTTTTCCCTACTTATATTAACCACTGAGTATGATACGCTACATGCTACTGCAACATTAGAATCAAACTTCACTATATTAAAAAAGCGAGGATGGAGGTTAATGCTATTTATTATCAGTATGATTTTTAAGGAATGGCTACACACAAAATATATTTTAATAAAAAAAATACAGCCCCAAGCCTATAAATTCTTGAAACAATGTGCAAGTTTATTCACAGAAGTAAATACCTGATCTCAACAGGCTGACTTGTGTGCCTGCCTCCAAGCACGGGGTCTGCCTCATCAAGGGCTAGTATTTAATGAACTTTATGGCACTGAGTGTTCACCACTGAAGAGCAGACCTTATTTGGGGATTCTAGCTTCAATATTAATAAAAATTGGAGGAGAAGGGAAGGAGGGAAGGTACCAACTCTCTAAGAAGTGCCTAAGATTGTAAGTATTGAGGAAGGTACAAGAAATTCCCATGTCCCAGTGTTGGCTGGTACAGTAAAAATCTGAAGACAGGAGTTAATATGCAGAAATAAGCAGTTTACACATGCACTGCACTTCCCTGTATGCCCCTAAGCATTTTATCAAATAGCATACAATTTCACACTGATCCTGAAGACACAGAATTAAATTTGT